GTCCAAATCCTACGTCTAAAGCCGGCGCACACGTGAGTTATTTTACTCAAGTAAAATGACGCATGAGTCAAATTACTCAACAAAAATCTGCCGCACACGTGAGTTAAATGACTCGTGCGTCATTTTACTTGAGTAAAATAACTCACGTGTGCGGCGGGCTTTACCATTATACGCTGCGGGGACCATTGCTTTCGCGACACGACTGTTGCACGCTTACACTTATATATATAGCAGGAAGGAAAGCAGGATCGCAAAATTCGCTCGATGCTCGCTGGATTTCACACTTTCACAGCACGAATACACATCCAACAGCTTCCATCTTTGTTTGTATGTCAAGAACAGTGTTAACTTGTTATAAAAACAATGTCTTTGTTCGTAACCGAGCTGTGTCACGCGAAATCACACAAACACTGACGAAATTCTCACGTTCGCGAACCTTGCCCTGTAATGTAAATGTCTGTCAGAATCAGGAAACATCCACCGGCGCTCTTCGTGGCCTCATTCTTGCGCCGCAACACTGCAACGTTTTTGCAACGTTGCAATGGCGAGGCTCGTTCGGGAGTTGGAAAGCAGTGCGCCGCCTGCGCGCCGCCTATAGCCCATAGACTGGCACTCGCTCCCACCTCTTGGCTTAGCTTAGTCACTCGATGGCTAATCGAGGTGGGAGCGAGTCCCAGTCTATATAGCCCTGTACTTGCAGCCATTTACATTACAGGGCAAGGTTCGCGAACGCTAGAATTTTGCCAGTCTGTGTGATTTCGCGTGACACAGCTCGGTTACGAACAAAGACATTGTTTTTATAACAAGTGAACACTGTTCTTGACATACAAACAAAGATGGAAGCTGTTGGATGTGAATTCGTGCTGTGAAAGTGTGAAATCCAGCGAGCATCGAGCGAATTTTGCGATCCCGCTTTCCTTCCTGCTATATATATAAGTGTAAGCGTGCAACAGTCGCGCCGCGAAAGCAATGGCGTCGGCAGCGTATATGGTTGGACGTAGGATTTGGACGGAATTTACAGGAAACTCGTCAATATTAATAGGTGAAAGAGAGTATAGAAACATTAAGAATTTGGTAGTAAATCGATTTCAGATTTAATCAGCATTATATTTTATTGAAACGCTTCAAGTGCCTGTGTCTATGTCCCCCAGGGTACTGCCGTAACGTACCCTGGTACAAACTAATATGCCGGACCGTACCTCGCCTCCTCCACTAACGAGTCTAGGGAGTCGCCTACGCCTACTCCCTAACCCTAACCCTAACCCTAACCATATCAAATAGTTACCAGGGTACGTTCCGGTATACCTGACCATACCCAGGGTACGTTCTGGTAGTACCCTGGTGGACATAGACTCTATGAGCTACACTTAGATACAATACCTACTCAATAGTCAATAGTCAATAATGGAATCCAACAAGAGTAAGGTAACCCCCCTCGTGTACCTACTCTTGTTCAGTTACATTATTGTATCTATTCCTACACTGTACAGTCATCGTAACCTCAGTAAATATTAGTTAAGGGGCTATATATCGAAGACGGAAAAACGCAAGCTTCAAATGGTGTGCAAACGACCGCCACGAAAAAACTTTCGGTTTTCGGACCTTTTCGGTTTTCAGAATTTTGGATAATACTAATAGATTGTGTACTGTACCAAAAAATGGTACAGGGCGCAAGTACACTTTCCGGTTCAAGGATATAAGAGCTGTCCGCAATGCATTTTTAGCTCATCTGACATAGTCAGATGCAGCTTGTAGAATCGCATGAGCGTGCGTCCGTCTGTCCGGCCATGCGTCCGTGCGTCCGTCCGTCCGTGCGTCAACAGTTGGGCACAAGTCTTAACCGCTTGACGTACGGTAACGATATTCGGGACGTCGGGGGGGATCGTCAAAACGAGCTGGGATGTCGAAGCTGGGGGTCAAAGGTCAAAGGTCAAGAGGTGTAAATGAAGGGGGAACATTCAAGAGAGAGAGAGAGAGAGAGAGAGAGAGAGAGAGAGAGAGAGAGAGAGAGAGAAAGATTGTTGAAGAGATATATCGGAGTCACGATTGCCACGGTGATGGAGACACGTGTTGGCTTCACTAACTAACTATCCCATTAGGAAGCAGAGGCTCACAGTTAGCAGCTGCTGCAGCTGTAGTAGATAAACACACGTCTAACTCTTCCTTCACACGTACACATACACGCACGCGCGCATGCACGCACTCCCATGCACGTACACGCACACGTACACGCACACAGGCACGCGTAGTCCAGGATACTGTAATCACGTACACACACGCCCACAGACGTGCGCGCACACACACTCGCACGCTGACACACACGCTTATATAGGTGCTGCCATCTCTTGACGAGCAACTACAAATTCAGCGTTAGCAAACTACCTCAGTAGTAACCATGCTCCTAAAGGAGGCATACAACAGTCGCACTATTTCATCTCTAGTAAAAGTCTTTGTTGGCATTTTTTTTCGGCGAAATTCGACAACTTTGCAGAAATTCGCATCATAGAGCTGGAAAAAGTTTCGAGCGGAGCATAGAGCATGAATCTGTAGTTATTTAACATGAATAAAGTGTATGTTGTGTAAGCGCAGTAACAGTTTGAGTATTTGTAATTCATTTCTGTTCGGTGTTTATTCAGGCCTACCGCCTATGGACGCCCGCTACTCTTGTTCAACACCTTCATGGTAATAAAAGAGGCTGGTAATAAGGAGAGCTGTTCTGCCAAAGAAATCGAATAATTGAGTTTTATGTTAATGAAAATCAGTTATGCAAGTCCTCTAGCATGGTTTTTAGACACATGCATGTTCACATGACATTTAAACATGTATTTCATGTAAACATGTATGATATCCGTGTACATATG